CATCTGCTGCCTCCAGCGGGGCTGGTTTGTTGGCGTTTTGAGTCAACAAAGCGAATATCCCCCCTCGAAATTTTCCATATTTTGGCTGCAAACCAGGATGTTTTTCACGCTCATCTTCTTCCTCCTACCCTCATATCATCCAAAACACTCGTGGATGGGTGGGTAGAGGACAAGCTTTGGGCTATGTCTGATCCCTCCCTCAGCTTTGTACTTCAACCTGAGCAGAGCACTGGGGTGTCAGGAAGGGGACTCACTCCGACATGATCTAGGGATTCTTCCAAGGGTGCCCAAACCCCTTTGTGGGGAACGTAACAGATGCTCACCAGGCTTAAGATGAAAACTTGAGCTTGATTGCCTTGAGTTACTGATTATCAGTGGACATGGCAGTTCTGCTGAGTGAAAGCGAAGATTCTGAGCAATGCACTTGGTGAGGACTGGCTCCACTGGTCTGTTTGTAGATGTGGGTCTCAACACAACAGAAAGGGTTGAAAGCAAAATGAGGCAGCGTGAGGGTAATGAATGTGTGCTCCCCACGCCAGAGCGGCTTTTGAGCTTTTCCAGGTCTGTGCCTGCAAAATTCCCTCCCGCCCCGAACCGTGCTCTCCCAGAGTCATGTGATACCTCCAGTGGGGACACTGGGCTGTGGTCCCTGCTGGCGGTTTTTGTCACCAGGGTGAGTGTCCCAGCAGGGGCGTCTGTGAGTACAAGGTGGCCGAGAGGATGCCAGCCATGAGAGAGTGGGACAAAGTCAGGTCTGGGGTTAGTTGCAAGTGTCCGTCTCCTTCCCAGCATCGTTCCCAGCTGGTGAGTACCTGGGTTGGGAGCATGGGCTTTACCTGTTTTAGTCTCACTGGAAGGTCTGGCGACAGGTCTGCACATGTAAGCGAAGAGTTTCACTCTTCATCCAGCACTATCAAAGGGTGTCACGAGCTTGGGGGAATCAAGTTCTCCCAGTTTTCTGAGTAGCAGTGAGCTACAGCTGCGCTGGGTCATTCTGGCGGCCCCTCCAACAGCACCCAGTGGGTGCCACTGAAAGTGTTCACAGATTAGGGGGCTTCCACATCCCAGCCTATATGAGAGTCTCCATCAAGGGCTTCCTTCTTGGATGAGAACGAAAATGGGGGTGTGCAGTCCAGGTCCTGGGTGAGGAGCCTTCATCTGCAGGAGACACATGGCCGATGGCTTGGAGTAAGTTGAACTCTGGCAGACATTTACTGGGACTCTCCAGGATATCAATCCCAGGGCAATCAAGGATCTGGGATGACTGAAAAAGCCTTTCCCTCCAATCACTTCCCCACCACCGTTCTCCGGATGTTTCCTCTGAGGAAGCAAATTAAGGATCCTTAAAGTTACATCTTTTAACAGGCAATCAGTGCTCCTCTCTGCAGGGAAGGTCCTTCATCAACAGTCGCACAGGTCCTCGTGCTGAGATAAACACCACGTCGGATAGTGCCTCCTTCCAGCAGAAGATGTCTTTGCATGCAGAAGGCAGGGTGCATACGTGCTACAAGGATGAATTTTGTTCGGCTCGTGGCTGTGCAGGCTGGGGAGACAGGAACGTGGAGATAACTTGCTGCTCTGTATCTAGGTGGCACCTAAAGACCAAGCAGAACTTTGGAGGTACCGCATGGCTCCGGTGGGACATTTCCCACAGCTCCTGATGCTGTTTTTCACAAGGGAATGGGAGCACTGGGGGCATGCAAGAAGGGAGCTCCTGGAGGCCACTCAGTCTCAGCATAGTTTGTGTTTGGAGCTCATTTATTCAGCAGCTCCTTAAAGCCTTCATAAATGGGTGCTGCTAAGTACAGAGACGTGACCGCTCTGGAGTTCAGTTATTTACAGCTGACTGCAGCTGACTTATGCTGCCTCCATCAGCAGGGCTGAGCAGGGAAGGAAAACCTTCTGGAATGAGAGCCAGGAGATACAAAGGAATTCCTGCCTGCGTTTTTCCCCACTGTTGCCAGCCTGTCTCAGCCTGATATGTTGATAAATGCAGGTTTGGGGGAAACCTAGGAAGCTGCAGGGAAATATTTGTGGGTCTAGGTGAGAACCATGTGGAAACGTGGGAGGAGCTTCTCGTTTTAACCTTAAAATGTGCATTTAAACCTAAAGCCAGTTTGCCCTAGCCAGCTGAAAGCAACTGAGCTTTTTGACCTTGCTGTGCCCAGCTCTGTCCTCACAGCATTTTCACAACGGGCTCTGCTGAGCCTTGGATGCTCTTTGCATCCAATGCATAAAACAAAAGAGCCCTTCACAGTGTTAAAAATCATCATGAATCATCGTGGCCACTGACGCATGGGTCTGATTTCCCCTGTCCCACGGGGAAAAGAATTTGCAGCAAACCCAACGTGTGGAAATGGGAATGCGATGGAAGAGGTGTCTTCCAAGAGCACGGCCTCTGCACCGCTCCCTGGTGTTACCTTGACTGTCGGCATCTGCCACGTTCACCACCGCTGAAGGCAAGTCCTTGTGGGCAAGGCAAAGCTCCTGGAGGGCATTGCGAAGAGCTGCCAGGGGGAAAGAAAAGTGATGCCATGCCTGCAAAGGACCTTCAGGGGCAGGAACAAGCTGTGCATGTCTGAGTCACGTGCTTAGGGGTGATGAAGCCTGTGAGCTGGGTCTCTCCTGGCTGCCATCACCTGTGCTCAGCCCATGTCACCTCCAGGCCAGGAGGGTCTTCTGAGCTGCTTTGATTAGTAGGTGCTCAAAGCTCCCTAGGTTTTTGGTTTCACTTGTTTTTTAATTTTTCTTTTAATAGTGAGCCTTATTTTCGTCCCGACTACCAGATACACGTGGCTTGCAGCTACTCAAGTAGGCATTGCAGCCAGTTGTGGTTCTCAGCTGCTTTGTGCCCGTGGTTTCTTTAGTGTTTCTCCTCTCTCCACCCAAGGTGGAGCTGCCTGTGAAGGTGTTTTCCTTTAGGTACGTTCTGTAGGAGCAGCTGCCTGGCCGTCAGAAAATGTTTGGGCATCTCTAAGGATGGTTTCTGTGGTGAAAGCAATGACATGTCTCTAGGCTCCTCTGTGCTAAATGGGAGTGGGGAGGAGCGAAGCCAGATGAAGGGCAGCCTGGCCATCAGTTAACTTCTGCTTTTCTTTCTCCTCATGCTGTATCACTGTTGAATTTCTTAAAGCCGCTTTGTCTTCCTCAATTTCTCTCTGTGCGCTGCTTGTGTCATTTCTGTCTGGCTCTGTTTCCTCCTTTGCTGCTCAGCTGCTTGTCCAGCTGCTTTTTAATCTGTTCACCTCCCCTGCTCTCTTTTCTCCCCTCACACAGCTCTCTCCTTCTCCAAACTCATCATGTTCACCAGCAGCATTTTCTGTGCAAGCTGTTTGTCGGGCTGCATGATGGGCATAATGTTTGCGGGCACTTCTTCACAGTCCGGCGCATGGTCCTCACCGAGGCGTGACCCCTCAGGGAGGCACCTGAACCTCCCTCGGATGCTGGTGCTCACTCAGCCATGTCACTCGTTCGCTTGATTCATCCAGATTTGAAGGGGTGGGAAGGGAAAAGAAACCTCCCAGCCATCAGTCATGCTTGAGCCTGCCCAGACTGAGATCTGCAGTCCAGCGCTCACATGAATTTATCGTGCCTTCCCTCCTCCTTGCCTTCCTCCTCGCTTGGCGCTTTGCTTCAGCATCCCAAACCTTCCCATTTCAGAGCAGGGTTTGTCTCTGGCTGAGGTCATGTTGTGCAGGTGCTCTAGGCTGAAACTCTGGTTTGGTATCAGCTGCAGAGAGCTTTCTGTTACCTTAAACTCAGTTTTGTTACTGCAGTGTAATGCTCCTTAACTCCCTCCCCTTGGTGTGATAACTCAGGTTGTCTTATCTTCAGCTGGATCAAAGAGGCTGCCCTGGTGGGAGGGAGCATGGGAGCCCTTCAGCCACCCAGAAACCTCACCCAAGGGTCTGAGGGCCCCTTGCCATCGCCCAGCACATCCTGAGTTCCCACATGTTGCCATAGGATGCTGGTACCCAACCGCACTACGGATTTGGGAGCACCAGAGGGACTGCTTAAGGAAGGCATCCCCGAGAAGTAGCTAAATTCTGTTTTGTTAAAAAAAAAAAAGAGATAAAAATAAAGCCCTGTGCTTTTGCACAGAGTTATTCACGCGTAGCAGAAAATAGAGCTGGTATGCGATGCCTGTCTGCAATGTACTCCAGGAGCTACAGAGGCACTGACTGGCACTTTGGGACCAAGGGCAAGATATTATTTATAGCCAGCCTCAGTGAATCATTCCTTCGAAGGTTCTTTTTTTTTTTTCCTTTGAGTCCACTGCCTCTTCCCTTTGTGGCATTGCTGTCCTTCCCCCTTTCTACCATCGGCAACTTTGTGATAATTGTGCACAAACCTGTAGGGAAGCATGCAGCATCTCTTCCTTCCCTGGTCCCAAACCAGAAGGCATCAAGTAGCAGGAATTAAATCAGTGCCGTGCAGCCAGAGATGAATTTCAACACACTTATCCCTGAGCTCCTTCAGAAATGGATATCTTTTTCCAAGTGTGCCACCATGCAGATAATTTCTTAAAAGGGCCCTCTGCTCAGCAGCTGCAGGAGCAGGGATGTGGCTGGGAACCATAGGGTTATTCCCCACCTTCCCTTGCACCCTTACTCTTTTTGTAAGCCAAAAAGCTAGGAATTTAAAAGTCCAAAGATGTGTGTCAAGTGATCATCAGGGAGTAAATCTATGTCCTTAATTATTTATGACTTACTTGGCATATTCTGAATAATTGACTTATCTAGCATTGAGCACTTGGGAGGGTAGCAGAGGATGCTGCTGCAGGGTCAGAGGGATGTGAATAGAGAAATAAAACCCTGAGGAGGAGATTTTTGAAGAAGCTGGTTGAGAGTTTGGCATCCAGTTTCACTTTGGCAGATGTCCTCTGTGTGAAGAGCTGGGGGGGGGCAGGAGGTCGCATGGTGCTGGGGCAAGAGGCTGTCACTGGGTCACAACCCACCGTGACAGAGCCTAACCCCGCTCGCCTCTCACTTGTCTTCCAGCCCATCACTTCATCACGGCGACGGCGTGCCAGGAGGCAGACTACGGCTGGATGATCCGGCACTACTGCCTGAAGCAGTTCCAGCTCAGCATGGAGGACATCGGGCAGCCACTCTGGTGTGACTGGGACGAGACCGTGGGGTAAGTGAGGTCCCTTCCTGGCCCTGCAGCCATCTTTGATTTTGGGGCGTGACGAGGACAGCAGTGGGTTTTATTTAGGGAGGGGGAACAAATGTGCTGTTTCGGTCCACTCTGCAAGTGCTTATGCTGCCCCTGGCTCCATCCCTGCTGGGCCCAGCTGGAGGGACACCCTCATACTGGTGGCTTATGCAGGGACCATGAGGTGGGCTTGGAGGGGAGAGCAGTGGATATTGGCTACAAAGACTAGTTGGAGGCCAAAAACTAGCGATGTGCCCTGTGGGTCAGTGCTGAGTCCCATCCCACTTAACCCCTTCATTAACGGTGTGGTTGATGGGCCGGAGCATACCCTCAGCAAGTTTGCAGAAGACACCAGACTGGAAGGAGTAGGTGACATACCAGAGGGTGGTGCTGCTGTCCACAGGGACCTCGACAAGCTGGAGAAAGGGACTGATGGGAACTTTATGAAGTTCAGCAAGGTGCAAAGTCCTAGACCTGAGAAGGAATAACTCCAGCACCAGGATGTGTTGGGCACCACCCAACTGGAAAGCAGCTTGTCAGGAAAGGCCCCAGGGGTCTTAGTAGACACAAAGTTGAACACGAGCCAGCAATGTGCCCTTGCAGCAAAAATGAATGGTGTCTGGAGCTGTATTCAGAGGAGTATTCTGAGCAGGTCAAGGGAGGTTATCCTTCCCCTCTACTGGGCACTGGTGAAGCCACCCCTGGAGTGCTGGGTCCAGTGCTGGGCTTCCCAGTGTCTGAGAGACACAGGCATGCTGAAGAGAGTCCAGCAAAGGACCATGAAGATGATGAAGGGACTATAGTATGTCTCCTATAGGGAAAGGTTGAGATAGCTGGGACTGTTCAGCCTGGAGAAGAGAAGGCTTGGGGAGGTCTTATTAAGGTGTATAGATATCCAAGGGAGGGTGCAAAGAGGACAGAGCCAGGATCTTCCGAATGGTGCCCAGGGACAGGACCAGAGGCAATGGATGCTTCAGTTTAGAAGTCACCCAGGAGGTTGTGGAGTCTCCATCCTTGGAGATATTAAAAAAACCTCTGGACATGGTCGTGAGCAACCAGCTCTAGACAGCCCTAGTTGAGCAGGGGCATCTGGCCAAGATGAGGTGGACCTCCAGAGGTCCTCTCCAACCTCAGCCTTTGTGCGATTAAGTGGGCTTTCAAGGAGTCCAACCTAAGCAGTGTTTGGAAATCAGGATGGTGATCTTGCTCAAAACAGTTATGTACATATGAAGAAACTACATGCCCCGGTGGTGGAGCTTCAACAAAAGACCACTCTTCTCATTGTCCTCTACGTGCTGGGAATCAATGTGTTAATTAGGCAGTAGACTGGGATCCCTGTCACAGCTCCATTACCTCTTCTGGTGACTCACTGCTTGACGGACGAATTTTCCACAAGATTTTTCTTTTTTCTCAAGACTCAAGTTGTTCAAACAATCCAAAATGCCCTGACTAAAGGTGAAAACCCATGACCCACTGAGATGTTCTCAGACCCTCACTATCAGAGAGTCCCAGGCTGTCCCACTGGACCTACTGACTCACCCGCTACTTCCCAAAGTTGATTGTGTTGATTTTTTTCTAAGCAACTAGAGGGAAGGGCTGACATAGTAGGGCCTGACAGTCTTTAGCTAAGCTCCTGTTTGTAATCAGTGTCAGTGAATTAGCAGTGATTTATTACTTAGGAGAAGCGGAGGCACGGTCTGCTTCCCTGGTGGAATTCTCGGCGGCTTCCTTGGGGGTATAATGGGAACCCTACTTAATGCAGCAGCATCAGAGAGAGCAGGGATGTTGCGTTTGGGGAATGTGATGCTCTGTGAGTTTGGGTTTTGGCTTTTTTGAATTTTCTTCTTGGGTTCTTTTCATTGCAAGCCACCTCCTTTAGATTAGCCTCTTTCCTATTCGTAATCAGCAGAGCGGAATTTTTTTGTTATCACTGTGGCAGAAATTGTTCTCTTGGTGAGATAGTTTTGATTAAAGTTGCAAAAACCAGTCAAGGGTGTCTGTGTGTTGACATGAGGGCCTGAAAATAGCAAATAAAAATCCATTTTCTGCTCTGAGCTGGTTCTGCATTGTATCGCACCGTTGTGCCATGGCCTTCGTCCAGGAAAATGAAGTGGTGGACAAAACTGAGCTTTCGTGACACAAGGAGGGTATTGAGGTCCATTGGAGATGACGAGCAGGTGTTGCCATATGCCATGAGTGCTTTTGCACAAAAATTACAGTTTGTGTAAGATTATGGCTGATCTTCTGCTTCATGCTCCCTTCCTTCTGTGCCAAATTAAAATATATATAAATATGCATATGTGTATATATATATATATATATATACACAGACACATATATAGAGATAGAATTTGATAGCTTGGGTTTTCCTTTCTCTTTATCATTGACAAAATGAAGGGGAAGAAAAAAGAGTGGAAAGACCGTATGAAGTTTTCTTGTTCTGAGAAATGTCATCTGGTCCTGAAAATTGTCCAGAACACCAGTAGCCAGCAGCTTTGGGGGTCTGTGTGAAACCTCTCCCCCTCTGTCTATACTTTTGGAAGCAGCATCCAGGTATAGGCCAACTGTGATGAATGGCAGGAGATGAGGATAACCATTTCCCTGGTGTCTCCTGGCTGCCCTGGGGGTGAGCTCTCACCCCTGGGAACATCCCAGCAGAGACATCCGCTGTCCCAGCAGCAGGACCTTGCTTTTGATCCTGGTTCGGTGCTCTCTGCGAGCTGGATGAGATGCAATCTATCTTCTCCTCCAGAGCTTCAGTGAAGCCACTGCAGAGGGAGCAGAGGTGTATTAAGGAGCTTGTTCTTTATCTCTGAGGTCCTGTTTTTCTTCGAAATTGCTTCTACTAAACTTGTTATCCTTGAGGCAATTGGAGGAAATGTGGATAAACTTGCAGTGTTTAGCTTGATTGCACGAGTCCATTTGCTCCGTGTAAACACAAGGCTTAGGGTTATTTAGAACATGACATTCCTCTGATCCTCCTGTGCCCTCAGGACACTGGGAAAGTCAGGAAGAAATAGCTCAGCTATTGCTGTAAATAAGCTGCTCTGCAAGGAGATGGCTTTTGGGTGGCCACTTTGCTCAGCAGCCCTGCTCCCCGGGAGTGTGTGGGACTCACCGGACCCCTTGTAGGAGAAAAAGTAATGTTAGGAGATGTCCCAGCACGAGCAGGCAGAGGGTGGCACAGGCTGGCTGGCCACCCCCTTGGATTTATGGGAAAGGACTTGACTACCACCAGGCTTGAGATGAAGAAATGGAAATAAAACACTTGCCTGGAGCCTGTTTCCTCTCCACATCTTCCTACAAACCAAGGAATTTTGATGCTTGAAACCAATATGAAACAAGAATGGGAAATGTTTGAAGGTTTTGCCTCTGCCAGGACCTGTACCAGCAGCAGCAGCGGGTTTGGACCTGTGATTTCTCGTACGTGGTGTTTAGCAGGGAAGTGCCTGTTAGGCCCATTATTTACTGCTCAGTTGAGAATGGCATGATGGGAACATTTGGATAAATTAATTGTCTCAGCGGAGTTTGTAATTGTGGTTTATCTATCTTATTTATAAGTCACAGATTATCCTCCCTTCTTACATTCAGAGGTATTAATCGAACTCTTGTGTTGCTGGTACTGCTGCATTCAGGTGTTATAGGGAGGTGTCTCTGGACCAGGAATGTTGGCTGAGGTTGGGCTTGGACCACGTGAACAGGCACCAACTCTCTTGAGAAGGTTTGTCCAACACCATCAAGCTCGGCTGGCTTTCTTAGCTGTGCTCATTTGGGTAAAGCTGAGGGGGTTTGATATGCAAGTCACGTACCAGGGGAACTTGTGTGAGCTGTTACGTGCTTCAGGAATGGAATACCGGGTGGTTTTTAATAAAATGATTAATTCCAGAAGTTGGCCATGATTGCTCTCTCCTGGGAAAGTAGAAGGACTGCTCTGAGAGGTATTTTCTCTTGAGCCACCTGGTTTCCTTCCCTCTCTTCCTCCCCAAAGGATGAGCAATTTGGCGTGGCCTCAGATGCTCCTGCTGGGTCAGCTGCCCACCAGAATCCCACCAGGGCCTCTCCAGCCCCTCAGTAGCATCGCCCCACGGATCCCTTTCCTCAAAGCGATTTAGACCAAGCACCCCGGTGTTTTGTCATCCACGGCTTGCAGCCACCCTGTCATTTAAAGTTGTGGTCTCCTCTGCTTCAGGACGGGGCGGGTCAAGCTGCTTTGTCTGGGAGCTCAGCTGTGCATGACTAATTATCCCAAAGATCAACTTGGCTATTTCGATGCCAGGTCCAGATTCATCAGCCTGGAGGTGGAGGCGGAAGGTATTAGCTGCGGTCTCCCTCGGGGCAGCTATTTTGAGGACGTGGAGCACTACGGGCAGAGCTGGGGCAGCCGGAGGGGTCGAGGTGCCGGCTGCTCACCCACGAATGCGTCAGTAGGAGCTGATGGCTTGTAGATGTTTCTCCTGCACGGTTCTAGCTTGCTGGTGAGCCGTGGCCAGGGGACAGCTTTGCACGATGGTTTTGCGACGCATTGGCGCCCCATGGGGGGAAGCTTGCTGAGCTGAGCAGCTGCGAGTGTCACTCCAGCCGAGCCTGGAGCCTTCACCCCAAATATATCTGCTAAAAATCTCCGGGGAATGCTTTCCCCTCACCACGGGCATCCTACAGGGAAGGAGCTCACTCGTGTGAGCATGTCAGTCTGACAGCTGCAGCCGGGTCCAAAAATGAGGGATGATGATGTCAGCTCCCGGCACCGCCACCCTGCTCCTATTGGCACCGCGAGGCTGTGCTCACAGCTTTGGATACGCTCACAGTGTGTCTTGAAGTCATTTACCCATTTTCTTATAGAAAACACATCAATCTCATTGTCTACTCACTTTTCTTCAAGTTACCAAGTCCCTTCTGGATACCTTTTGGCATGTCTCCAAGCTCACCCTGCAGCCTGCAGAGGGCAAAATCATTTCTTCTTTTAATTTACAAAGCAAAAGGAAAGCCTTGTGCTGGTTTGTGGCTTTTGTTTGGTTTGTCTTGTTTTCTTTTTTCCCTTCTGAAGCAAGGGATTTAAGGAGGATAGGGAAAATGCTGATACTCGTGGCAAAAGGGAGACCTGGCAATCCTATGAACCCCAACTATGGAGTGTAACACCACGCGCACCCAAGCGCTGGCAAGGAGTCAATGGCAGATTGAGTTCCAATCTTGGTTGCAGAGGTAAAAAAAAAAACAAAACACAGAGGCATTGCTTAGGATTTACAGAGGTATAAGCGTTTGGATCCTGTCAAACCATAAATCAGTCCTCGATTGCTTCCCATCAGTGGCCTGTCCTCATCCTGCCCATGGATGTTTGTCCCCACGTGGTCCTCGTGCTGCTCAGCCTCCTCCCGCTGCAGCATCCTTTAAATCCAAACTGTTTCCATGGCGATGAGAAAAACAGTTTTAATTTCAGCTCACATTGGGTAAGGAAAAAATTCTTTAGGGCTAAGCAAAGCTGCACTTCAGGGCAGGCTGCCCGTTTTCCTGCCCACAGCCTGTGGTGGTGGGATGGCTTGGGAAAAGCTGCCCCATTTCCAGTGCTACTCTACGTCAGCTCAATAATCACAAGGTTTTTTTTAATATTCCTCTTAGTAATTAAAGCTAATCTTTTAGGATTTTAAATTAAGAAGCTGGTATTTTAAGGCAAAACTAAGGGAGAGGAGGGGTGGAAGAAGAAGGAGGTCTTGTAGGCACAGATGGCTTCTCCCACCATGCCTCTGGGGACACACAGACCATCGTAGCGAGATAAGGGCACCCTCCATGCTCAGCGCTCTTCCAGCCATGGGCATCCCTCCATCCCTCCACCTCGAAGCACAGGGGAGCTGCCAAGAGCTGCTGTTCTCAGTGGAGCCCTTGCTGGGCTCTGGGTGATTTTTGGCTCTGGAAAAGACCCTAGAGAGGTCAAAGCCCAGTTGGGAAAAGGGAGCATGACTTGAGGATGCTTCTCATTGAAGCCACTGAGCTCTCTTTGAGGCTGGGGGAAGCAGGAGCAGCCTGAGGGCTCTAACCAGGAATTTTTTTTCTGCAGATCCAACAGGATGCTCCTTGTGAGAAGCAAGAAGAGATTTCAAATACCTTGTCATGGGGTCAGAGGTGACCAATAGAAAGGCTTCTGTTGCTTCTGTTCCAAAGAGCATCGTAATGCCCTCCTCCATCACCAGCCAGGTTTTGCTGCCTGACTTGGCTGTTACGAATAGCACACGGCGCTGCCAGTTATGAACAGCTTTGGGCTGCACCGGCTATTCATAGCCCCTGGCAAACAGCATTAAAAACACGTGCTCCTTCAGGTGCTTCTTGCTCCCAGGCAGGTTGAGGAGTCCAGAAAAACCATCTTTAGCTTTCACATCCTCAGATCCTCTGGATGCTTTGCAAAGCCATGGGGACATGCCACGGTGCAGGTCCATGGCCCGGTGTTTTCTTTACCTCCTTATCTTCCACAGCCAAACTGAGCTATCACGGAGCTTGTTGGAAGCCTGGCCAGGGCTCTGCCCTGTGATTAATCCCCCCACACACACACACTATCAGCAAGGCCCTGCTCAGCTGTTTGCAGAGGGCAGCCAGCCCCAGTCTGGGGGGTAAGGGAGGAGAGGACACAGGGCTTGGGTATTTCTCTACACAATCCCCACCGTGGGTCTCCTTTGGTGTCAGTGGCACTCAGGTCACTTAGATCTCCCCACCAAAAAGTCACCTCAATGTGTTGCCAGGCACTGCAATCCCCATATGTCCCCAATGCTGTCCCTAATGGTTTTGTTGCGTTTTTTTTTTTTTGTGGAAGCCTGTGCCCTTGCTTCGCTGGAGAAGATGGCATTTTGGGAGGTGGAGGCTTGCAAATGAGCTGTAAGATTGTTTGAAAGGCAAAAGCTTGATGCTACCTTCTCCCCAAAGAGTTTTAACTCTGTAACTAAGGATTACATGCCCTTCTGGACACCAGAAATAGCGTGAGCATCTTTGCAGCTCCCAGAGCTTGGCTCAGCTTTGCCCAGCAGAGCGTGGTGGAGGGGAACCTCACTCTACTGGGCTGAGCTGTGGGGCGGCAAGGGGAGGGCAAAGCAGCCATTCTGGGCTGGAAAACAACCCTCTGAGATGTTTCACCATCAGCGTGGGCTGAATTCCCCTGGTGGGACCATGCTGGCGTGGTGCTAACGCAATAAGGCGTCTCTGCTTGCGGGGAGAGAGAGAGAACCAGATGCCGCTTTGGAGACGCAACAGGATGAGCGCTCCCCATGAGCTCACGGCTGTGGCAGGGAAAAGCACGCTCAGCTCCAGGCGTCAACACTGCTGCTCTCCAGTGGGATCTTGATCCCTACTGACAAGCTCAGCCTGGGTTCGACCAGTCTGGTTTATCCGTATCCCAGCAAATGGATCCCATTGGTATCCCTGTGCTGTAGCAGGCTGGCTTTGGGACAGGGCACATGAAAATAAAGGGAACAATGGGCTTATGTTATCTTAGCGCACAGCTGCAGAGCCCCCCTCAGGATGGAAGGACCTCCATCCACACCTGGACAGACAGTTGTAACCCCACGGCCGTGTCCTCGCCCCCGCCAGGGCTGCAGCCGCTCGGCTCCTCTGCTTGGGTCCGTCCTCTCCGGAGCCGTCTGAACGCTGGAACAGGGACGCTGCTGAAGCGTGGAGTGTAATGACAGTTTATCCTTTCTTTTCCTGACACCATTTTGCTTTGGTGACTTGCACATCTTCACATATAATGACGGGGGCAGCTATTTATCAGCATGAAAGCGCGATCTGAGCCGGGGAAGGGCTAAGCCAGCTGCTGTGCGGCCCTCCAGTCTTAAAAATAGCTTTTATTTGTTTCTCTTTTAACTCTTTC